ACGCTATAAGCAGCGCATTTGGGACCACTTATTTTCCTTCGCCTTATTTAACTGTGGCTGAAGGTGCTGTTAAAGTTTAAATCTTGTTTGCGCCTCTACTCTCTTCAGGTGCCCCGTGGTGCTCGTCGCAAGTGAAAACAAGAAAAAAGAGAAAGCCCTACTCGAAGCTGCAGCTAGCTGAACTTGAGAATGAATTTATGATGAACGAGTTCATTAACAGACAGAAACGCAAGGAGCTGTCAGACAGACTTGACCTTAGCGACCAGCAGGTGAAAATCTGGTTTCAGAATCGGAGGATGAAGAAGAAACGACTGATGATGCGCGAGCAAGCTTTCTCTGCATACTGATGACCTTTGGCCTTGATCCTGAGCATCGCATCAATAATGTAACGTTCTGCGTCCGCACTCCATGTTGCTAAATTGATTCCTCCAGTTGTGTTGGAGGAGTCACTGACTGGAATAATTTCCTATGTTCTTTTTTTTTCTTTTCTCGAATGAATGAATCTCAACATTTATCAGCTGCACAGGTGGGAAAGGTGGGTGGACGGAATTGGTGGGCCGGGTTTCGTGTCTACAGTCGTGTCTGTCGTTAGGTCTGGGCGACTAAAGCACTTTGGTGAAGGTCATGGAAATACATTTGTTTTAGTTTAATTTAAACGCGCAGCTTCTGTTACGTTATATATTATACCTTCATCAAAAAGTTCCAGCATATTTGTAGTATAGCCTAACAAATACAAAAATAAATTTGCATTGGTGACTGAGACTGAGTAGATTTTTACGCATGCTGGGTCACTTTTGGCTTTAAGATTCTCCAAATGCGCCGTAGGCCACAGCTTCCAAACTGGTATTAGCCGGCGGATGATAATCAGTCTATAAGCCCACTTGTTTCTCATCCAGCGCAAATATGAGACCAGCTTAAACGGAAATGTGGAACCATTTGTTTTTGTGTCTTTTGTATGACGGCCTTTGCATGTAGTGCAGCCTTATTGTAGAAGGCAACAGTCAAGTTCACGTTTACGATGTGTAAAACATTAGCAATAGTCAACACTGCAAAATATATCTCATGATTGCATGCCCATCCCCTAATTGCTGTTATTTAATCAAATGTCTGAATTATCCACCTTTTTTTTTTGTGTAAATCTGTTTAAAGAAGTAATGCGAAACTACTTTTCGCAGCGTATTTGGCGCTAGGAAGTGTTTGAAGCCCGCAAAAAAAGAAAAAGAAAAGAAAAAAGGTTTGTGGATGTGAAACAGTCTGATGGTGTCAAAACGCATAATATCTGTTGTAAATTAAATGTTTATCTTTTTTTGTTGTTGTTGCTAGACCTCTGTATTGTCACAAAAAACGCACATATGTGTGATCTCAAGGTCGCATCAAAGTCATTCTAAAGCGGAAGATTTACATTTTTTGAAAATAAATACGCAGTTATAGTTTATTCCAAACTGAATTTGACTTATTTAATAACAATTTCAGAATGCATCGTGTTGGTAAGTATAATATGAAGTTATACAAGTTTTTGTTTGTTTGTTTTTTAAATCAAGGTAAATTGGTTTTGTACTGTGGATGCACCAGGAGATGAATGCATTTGTAAATAAAGATCCTTTAAAAAAAAGAATCGTGACGAAGTTATTTTGCATCATGATAGATATTTCATATTTATTAGGAATGATATTGGAAAGAAAATGTAACTAAAGACTTCACGCTTGTGCCGTTCACCGTTATTCATATAGCTTCGCTCCAGAGCTGATATTTAGCGTATAACCGAGCACTGATCTGCACCTCTTCCACGCTGCGTCACATAGATTTTAAAACTAAAGTCAGCGTCGTTTGTTTAGGAAATCTCAAAGCCTGCAGATGTAAAAGAACCATGAGAGGGCTGCCTTATGCGAGCGTAAGCTTTCTCTAGAAATAAATTGTATCTCTATAAAATGTCTGTAGCATAGAGGAATATTTTTCTTTTATATCTGCACCTTTAACAGGCTATTATCTCTCTGCTCTCCAGCACTCACTTTAAATTGAAACCCCTCCATTCTGCATTTGGCTTTGGCATTTTATATGCGTAATTCCTCTGCACAGTGGATAACCCAGCAGCATTTCTCACCCACAAGAAAATCTCTGCATGCCAGTAGGAGGTTATTGCGGCTGTAACTAAATGAAATGGATGTAAATCAATATCTCAGCGACATCAAGTGAACTTTCTGCACCAGACAAGTCCATCCGTGCTCATTAGTGGTGCATGTGATATGGCCAAATCTAGCTCTGTCACTGTTTTCATTCACCAAAACTCTTCGCTGGTGTTTCCACGGCGGACCTGCAGGTCAGGGTAATTTTAAACGAAGAGAGACCGCGACTCTGGAGGAACGACCAGCCATCAGCAGAGCAGCACACGCGACATTACGGGAGAGTGAATCTATAAATGGTTCCCCTCGTTACATCATTATCACGTCATCATCACCGCATCACTGCAACTATTATGTTTCTGTTAAACTGCAGTCATAAGTTCAAGGAAGTCTGAATAACATTTTAGAGCTATAGTAATTTGTAATGAAACATAAAGATTTTTCCCCTCTCCTTACAGAGTTTCTGGGACTTTGGCATACTTTCAAACCACTGCAATTCATTCTTTTTGCCCTCACTGTTTTGCGGGCCTGTTGTGTGGTGCTTAGAAGCTTAACAGCCAGTTCTCCTTCCACAGAGTATTTCAGACGCCTGCAGTGGGTTTTCTGTGCGTCTCAGACATTGTTTGCTGCTTTATTGGTTTACTGCCTGGCTGCGTCACATAGCTAAGGCTTCCTTTAGATAGTTGGGGTGCCAAAAACAAAGTTAAGGTCAAGTTAGTAGACTGGGTTTCTATTTCTCACAATATCAGAAAAAAAGTCTTATGGAAGTTAGCTTTCGTGTGTCTATTTCAGCAATTGTGTTTCAAGTGGAACCTTTTAATGTTTTGCTTAATGTCACACGCCTTAATTAAACAAGCAGGACAACACGACGTTTAACCTTTTTGTAAATGCTTGGAACTTGCAGCCTGATTTGATATCTGAAATTTTAAGCTTAATACAGTCTTACACATTGCAACCTTTCCATGTAAATGCATGCATGAATTTCAAAGTTAAAACCTATAGAACTCGATATGACACAAACACTTGCAGAATATAACCGCTAATGATAATAATACTAGCGATAGAAACACCAGAAGGATATTTTAAGATGTCTCACAGCAAATAAATAATAGAAGACGGCCAAAAAAGACAACCTAAAGCACACAAAACACCAAATTATAGCAACAACTCGTCTTAACTTAAAGTAAGCCATTAGTCTCATACCGCTATCTAAGGAAGAGGATTAGCTATCAACTTTTCACTGCAATTTTTTAAATGAATTCAATAATTAAGTTATTTATTCATGTGATAGTTACATAGATACAGATGTTTTGACCTCCTAACGCTGTGGAATATAGATGGAAGTAGTTTACTTTGGAACATTTTGGCCTAATTTTGGAAAATATCTTCTAACTGGCTAAAAATGGATTATTATGAAATGTAGTTAGATTGGATACAGAACAGGACCAACGAGCTCGAGTTTAGCCCCAGATAATATTAAAGCTGTCTTTAAGCGACCACCACATTATGTTTGAAGCCCGACAATTGATTAACCTTTAAAAACAATATAAGCCCACAGAGAAATATGAACTACATTTTTCCTGCATATTTTCCTGCATATATATTTTTCCTGCATATATATTTTTCCTGCATATATATTTTTCCTGCATATATATTTTTCCTGCATATATATTTTTCCTGCATATATATATATATATATATATATATATAGCCCTAGCCCAGTGCCTGATGCAGTTTCACAACTGCAGTATCACAACTACAGTTAAAAAAAAACTACATTAAGTGGAGTCATATAAAATAAAATAAAAATCGCCAGGTAATAAGAGTTAAAAATACAGAAAGAGATGAAACAATAAAGTTATTAATACTTACATAGACAAAAAAATTATTGGAGGAAATTTCATATATATGAGAGATCCGTTCATCAGTGGTATAAGTTCGTTTTCTCCACCAAGAAGGAGGAAAACACTGCAAGCATGGCTGCCCAGGGGCAGTAAAATGATTTGGCTGCAGAGGCTTGTTGGTGAAAAAGGCTTGGTGGACATCAGCTACACCACAGACGGTCAAAGTCAGTTGTTTTGGACTTGGCAATGCTGGATGTGCTTACCGATTTGTGCTTGTGATTGATTTATGTTTCTGTGGAAACCAAAAATCAACATTTCTGTGTTTGCAGTAACATTCCGTGGGGTTGTTTACTTGTCTGTTTTCAAGTGCATCCATCTGTACTTAAAATTGGGGATTTTTTTTTGTTTTTTGTTTTAATCAACAGGACCATTTAATGGGCAGATATTTCTAAACAACGAGTTTTAAAAATGGACTCTGCAATGTAACTGGGGTGTAATATATACAATAATCTATTGCAGCCCAGTCTTGTCGTGGTCTTTTATTTCTTTGTGAAGCCTCAGCTTTTTGTCACCATGGTGAAGGCCAAAAAGCTTGTCAGTGAAACTGAATTCAAACGATTTCCTTCTGGCGTTTCTGTATGTATTTAACTCTACTCAAACCACCATGGTGCACAGTGATTATGCGCAATGAGCCTTAAATGTATTTGCATAAAATCTGACTTGGTGAATCACATATTCCACAGGCTGCTTCTTCTTCTTCTTTTTCTTTTTTTCAGCGCGTGTAGGTACGGTAGCCTTGTTGCCATGCCATTTAAGCTTTGCATTGAGGTTAACGTTAATATTTCCGCTAACTGTTGCCACAAACATATAAAGCCAAAATTTACTGACACCATCACTGCGTATGACCGTCATTACACATCATTACAAGATGAGGATGATGTTGCAGCAAAGCTTTTAATTAAATATTCCAGCGATGGTTCACACATTTCTTCTTCTTTTTTTTTTTCGTGAGCTATAGGGCAAGAAGGCTGGAGAGGAGTTGCCTCTGCAGCCAGAGAGCCAATGGAGTCTCTTGCATGCGCTCACATGAGTTTTTCCGGACAGTTTTTAATGACTGATATTGATGTATGGTAATTTCTTAGCTGGATCACATGACACAATTACCTCAAGAATCGATCAAGATGTATTGCAGGTCTGCCTACGTTTCCGATTTTTTCTCCCTGGCGGGGTCTTTCCACACGCCTGTGGTGCTATAGATGGACAAAGTTTAACACAGCAAAGCTGCCAATTCTTTCCTCTGTTGCAGAGAGGAAAACTGAAGAGGAGATATGACGGAATATGATGATCGCAGCTGTGCGTCAAATATGTTTTTACCGAGCTGCACTTATTACGTTTCGTCGCCCGATTTTACATCAGTCTCCTCCTTTCTACCCCAGACGACTTCGTGTCAGATTAATTTCCCCTATTCTTCCAACATAGCTCAAGTCCAACCTGTTCGAGAAGTCGCTTTCAGGGATTACGGACTGGACCATCCCAAATGGCACTACAGGGGCAATTACGCGTCTTACTACTCAACGGACGAGATAATGCACCGGGACTTAATCCAGTCCTCCAGCAGCAGGGCGGATGTGATATTCAAAAACGAGTCCTTGTATGGCCACCACGGAGGGACAGGCTCGCCTTGCAATTTCTTTACCAGCGTGGGTCGAAATGGGGTTCTTCCCCAGGGCTTCGACCAGTTTTTTGACACTCCTAACTTGGACAAGCCCAACGCGGAGCTCCCCAAACAAAAGACAGACTATAACGTTCCGGGTGATGCTGCGAATAACAATCAGGCTGTGACCAAAGTAGAACAACACAAAGCTGATCAAACCGGGAACGTCGACGAGGACTCGTCCTCCAACTGCAGCGACAAGATCAACCAGCAAAGTAAGTCAGTAAGGATACACTCCTATGTGTGTTAGACATAAGATGAACAGTCCAGACTTTAGAGGGTCTGGACTGCGCCATTTCCACCGCCGTGACCGTGCAGGGTTATATGCTTCTTTATAAGCATGCAAAAGCTTTTATATCCCAATAAGATTTACTTTACGGTTGTAAAGGTATTTACAATGGGAGACCGTTAAGTAACCATACTTAAAGGCCTCCTTGTGTCCAATGATAATACCTTGTTGCCAGGTTTGATTTGTTTTGATAGGACATTAGAGGGATTTTTTTGTGACTCTATATTTTATATTTTAGTGCTGTGCAGATATAGAAATACAGTGAGGAAATGCAGACTGGGATGTAGTGGAAAGTAACCAAACACCAACATGTAGATGATCATTTGCGCAATATTGACTAATTTTCACGGGAATACCTGTGTTGGTTATTTCAGTCTACGCTCATGTGTGTGTGTGTGTGTGTGTGTGTCTGTGTGTGTGTGGATGAGGAAGTTTTTTTTTTTCGGAAATAAAGAAGTAAATCTATTAATTTGCTCTCTTTGCTATATTTCACATTTGGGAATTTTGGCATTTGATGTAAAATCTGGGAAAACTTTTTTTTTTGTCTTCCACAGGTTCATCAACCAAGTCCAGGAAGAAGAGGTGTCCCTACACCAAATACCAAATCCGAGAACTTGAACGAGAGTTTTTCTTCAATGTGTACATTAACAAAGAGAAGCGGCTCCAGCTGTCCAGGATGTTAAACCTGACAGATCGGCAAGTGAAGATTTGGTTTCAGAACAGAAGAATGAAAGAGAAAAAGCTAAACCGCGACCGTCTACAGTATTTCACTGGGAATCCTTTGTTCTGATACCTGGCATATCACACACAGACACACTCACACACCGAGGAAAAATCGCAAACACTTTTCCAAGAGGCTTCGTTGTCAGCTGTGATTAACAGTTGATTTCACAAAAATCTGGCTTTAAAAAATTAAGTTGCCAATATTTTGTATCATTAGAATTTTTGCACCAACTCTTGCGTTTATTTGTATTCTCATATTTTTGCGTTATCGGTAGCAGAAATTTCCGCAAATTGCGAGCTGTGCTTCGAAATAATTTATATTAAATATATGTAGGCTTCTTTCTTCTCTGAATGTATATTTGTAAGGCGCATGCAATGCAAATTGTGGTGTGAATAAAAGTACGAAAATAAATATGCTGTCACGAAACCGATCACAAGGAAGTTTTACAAAAAGCAAAACTAAACTAAAAAAACTTTACATCAGGAAAGATTTCGGAATAATTTAGGCGCTTGCAGTACTGTAATGTACCGTTATTTCCTTTGCTTTGAAACACTTGATTGTTTACTAAACCTTGAACCGTCTAGACACTATAATAAAAGTAGCTGTAAATGTCTAAATAGGGGGCTATTGGACTTTGGTGTCCCAACCCCCAGACCACATGAGGACTGATTCTCCTTCCTGTCTTAAAGTACTTTAACTCCAGGCTAGAAATGCTTTGAGAATTTCTGCGCATCGTTTCCATATTTAGCTCATGCTGGCATATTGGGGCACTTGCAACTAAAGAAATGGAAGACAATGGAAAATATTGTAACCAGGCCGGTCTTCTAGAAGGATAAGTATTTCTTTTTCATGTTTCTCTCCTTTTGCAGTATTATAAATTGGATATATGTTTCTTTGATGGCTCTGAATCTGCGAAGAAGAAAGAAGGGCAAAGTGAGCTTATAGCACGAAATTTGTACGATCTTCCTTGTGTAGGTAAGGCGATTCCATCTTTGTGTAGCTTCACCATACACGAACCATCAAGCTGCCTCTGCAAAAAGTGAAAAAAAAATTGAATTCCATAAAAATATAAGGTGCTGTATATCCTTCTTTCCCTTTTTTTGTAACCAGTAGGGGGGACGAACTAAATAAATGCACCAATTTCGGACAAAACAGCCGCTTTATTGATAATTCATTTGTTAAAAGATAGGCGATCGCTCATTTATGCAACAAAAATTACTCCCATTTTTTTAGTGTCAGAAAAAGAAAACCTCTATAGATTGATTTTTGCTAATTTAGTACCACCTGGGTTACATTTACCGTTTTCCTCCCCAAAAGGATATTAGAAAACTGAGGTTTCATTAAGCATTTAGAAGGGTGCTCAGCTTGTCCTGCAGTGCAATTGCATTACCAACTGTGAGGGGCGTTTCACTTCAATTCTCAATGTAGCCACAAGAGGGCACTCTCAGTTTTTACAGCCATGCAGTCAATTTAACATCAACCCCACATGAAAGCCTGTCAGTGAGGGAATAATCAGTTTAGCAAGCTGTTTGTTTACATTTCTATTTTAATTATTCCTTCTTCCAGTCCACTAAATTCAGCATGGTTTGCATGTTGCTGTTTTTTTTTAATTTAAAGACTCATTCCCTTCAAAGTATTTCATCCTCTCTTTTAATGAACTGATAAAAAAACACCGACAAAACGAGAGCCTTGAGTTTCCTTAAAGAAAATAAGAACACTGTTAATCAGAGAGCGCATTACATTTTGCTAAATGCTTCTCTGAAGGGATGAAATTCCTCATGAGTTTCATGAAAACAGCAAACACAATTTCAAATAATTGTCATGCGTATGGAAATGACACCAGGAATTTAATTCTGTTCTGTTTCTTTGTTTGTGATCCGCATCATAAAGGCTTAGACCTTTACCTGAGGGCCGCATGGGCCTGAAACCCAGTAATATCTCATGTTTATGCTAAAAGGAGCAGTGAATATTGACCCACATTTGCTATATATGTATTTCTGTTCAAATATATATATGTATATGTAACATATATATGTAACGTTTGTTTCTTTTATTTTCATTGTCAAATTCTCGTCTATTTGAGTCTAGCTATTTACTTTGAAAAAAGGTACAGGTACTCCGAATAAAGATCGAGTATTGTCGCAGTTTTTAAGCTTTCTTGTTTTGCTTGTAACTAAAATCAGCCAGTATTTTTTTTCTTGTTTTTAGATTTTTTTCTTCGTTTTTTAAATTTACGCGCTCTACTCCAATGTTTTAAATACAAGTGAATCTCTTGTTATTTTCTTTAAATTATCACTGTTAATATTTCCACTGTTCACAAGACTAATAATGACAGCAATCATGTCAACGAGTGTACGTATCCTTCGGACCATTTGACTTAAAAATATATTTTGGATCAATGTGATGTATAAATTGTTGATTTTGCCTGAAGAACATACTGGCTTCCAAATGAGTTTTTTTTTTATTGTATGTTAAAATGTTATCTTTGCAACATTATTGGAAACATGATAATTAAAAAAGAGAAAAAATATATATCCATTATCATTTGCCTCATTTAACTGTTGTAAAGCTTTATTTAAATAGCTATAACTGCTGCATATGGTATTCTAGGTTTTTCTTTTTTGACAATCCCGTTTGCATAGCACACGTGTTTGTTTACAGCCAACTATAAATATCGAAGAGCCTTAAAGAGAGCCAAACGGACGTTACACATCTTCTCTTACACACTGTATAATTATTTCAAGCTTGTGCCATTACTATCAAACACATAAGGATTCCCAGTGTTACACTTTTTTGTAAAGGCCGTTAGAGTCAGTGGCAATTACTGGCATGACCTCTGATTTGTGATCATGAATAATTTCGTGGACAGTGTTTTTTTTCCTCTCTAGTTTAACAGGCAGTACACGTTTGCCTTCCTTACGAGCGAAAACACTGAGGTATTTAGAGAATACTGTGACTGTGAGCACAGCCACGGTCAAGCAAGTCATTTTGAACTCTGCTTCTGAGCGTCAAATACGTAGTTAAACGAAAGCACAGATATGATAATCCTGGAGAAATAGCTTCATGGATTAAGTGTGAAGTGTGTAATAACGACTGCGAAAGCTATAACGTTGACCTTCACGTTTTTACCAGTCTGTGAGTTCAATTTGTTAAAGGTATGTGTCCACCTTTCACATCATCTTATGGATCTTCTGGGTATTTTAAAAGCTGATATCTTCCAGGAAACGGGGAAATCGTTTCCTCTTTAATAGAGAGATTCTGTGCACCTTAATTGAAAAACATCAACAGCAATAAGCCTTTCATAAATTGTCAAATCATAATGAAAAAAGACCAAAATTTAAATAGATGAAAGGAGAAAGCGTTACATTTATACTTAGTTTATTCTTTTGTTACATATTTAATACAAATACAATCGAGACATATGCCGCATATATGCAGGGAAAGCACTCTTAATGATTACAGCGGGTGACGTGTGAAAGGTTAAATAAAAATAGCCTTGCATTATAATCAGCAGAGCTGCTAAATTTTTTCCAAATAGTCTGCAGTTGTCGCCTATGCGCCATGCAGGCACCCCCACCCCCTCCCCATACACACACACACACACACACACACACACACACACACACACACACACACAGAACAAACGACATCAAAAAACAATGGAGTACTGGTAGACCTATGTCACCTGTATGGAGAAAAAAAAACAAAAACCCCCAACCCCAAAAAAGAACACAAAAAACAACTCAAATGCCACACAACCCTTTTAACAACAAGCACCCACATTCAAAGAATTGTAATTCCACTACTGTGAATCACCACAGTGGATTTAAATAGATCAGTTAAGGCACCGTCATTAATTTAGCAGGTTTATCAAGTATTGCAATAACTGTTTCAGAATTACAGCTATTTTTGTACGTAGTCCTCCACAGTTCCAGAGGCTGAAAATATTTGAGCAGCTGACTGAAAACCAGTTTCACAGGCTTCCTAACAAGCTGCTCCCTTGTTATTCATATTAAGCAGATATGAGATATGAAGTTGATTAAATTTATGTTTGTTTGCTGTTCACTGAAAACTGTCCGAGGGCCAAAGATGTGTCGATGCCTGATGTAAATGAGGCCAAGTTACAGCATGGGCACGTACGTCTGCCAGTAGGAGCAGGTGTTTATTGATGATGTGACAGCTGATAGAAGTAGCAGGATGAAGGGTACAGAGATACTGTATGCTCTCTGCTCAGATTGAGCCAAGCACTGCAAACGTCATCAGACGGAGCTTCACAAGGCTAATGGATAATAATCTGACGTAAATGCAAAAGCAGCTCAATAGATTCTAAAGGTAAAGACATGGAATATTTTTAAAAACACCTGATCTGAACCCAGCAGAGCAGACTCTCAGTCACCGAGACACACAAACCAGCATCAAAGTCCAGTTTTCTGCAGCTGGTGTCCTGCAGGTTTCAGATCTCACCTGGGTCAACACACCTGAATCACCAGGCCTCTGGAGAACTTCAAGACATATTGAGGAGGTCATTTAACCATTTAAATCAGCCGTGTTGGATCAAGGACACATCTAAGTGTTTGGAAAAGTGTACTGCTAAAAGTACTTTTATTGCACTACGTTATTTCACTCTTGAGCTGCTGTAACATGAATCAAGCAGCTGAACTGCCACCTCAGCATGCACGATACAGAGTCTTGCTAATGGCCTACTAATGTTATTCAGGTGTGTTGCAGCAGAGACACATGGGAAAGTTTCAGGACACCAGCCCTCGAAGACTGGAGTTTGACCCCCGTGGCCTAGTAGACCATTATGGAGGAAAAATAATAAATAAATAACGTCCAAATTCTCACAGCCCTGACTGTATCCATGGTATTTGAATTTTAAAGTTTCACCAAAGCCATCACGTGCAGCTTGGAGTTGATTTGGAGGTGGCTGAACAAGTATCTGTTTCTCCTATCAGAGTTAAAAATAAATAAGAAACTCTGAGTAAACATGAGTGCTGACATGTAAAAGTGTATTAACGCTCATTGTCAGTCCATTCTATCGTGGAAGCAGAGTTACTAATTATTCCTACTTGCTCACGAGCTGCATGTAAAATATTCTGCCGGATATTCATCGCATTTTCATAAAAACAGGCAAAGCATCTGGGGAAGAAGGCGCATCTGATGATTATAGCTGCTGTATTGTGGTAAAACTAGCTCATTCACACTGCTTATTGTGCTGTATTTCACTGGCTTGTGAGAATAACAGGGTGATAAGATAAATGCAATAATCTGATGTTAAAGAGTCAAAAAAGGTGCACTGAATGCACTGAATGTGGAAATGCTTCTGAATGGCTTTCATGAATTTTATGTAAAATATGTCTCTTATCGAAATGTGAGACGATGCATTTCCATCAAGCTGCATGCACAAAAACTTTACTGTGAAGAACTTTCTTCAACTCACCCTGGGTCAACACACCTGAATCACATGATTAGTTCGTTACCAGGCCTCTGGAGAACTTCAGGACATGT